GCAGGTCCGCCAGGCGGGAGTGGGCCAGCCGGAGTCCTTCGGCCGACGCATCCCCCTCCTCCTGTCGTAGCGGCGCGGGCGTACTCGGCCCCGGCTGCTCCGATTCGACCCCGGCCATCTCTGGTGGTGATTCGGCCGCGGCGTCTTCCATCTCCGACTCCCTGGTACGTGTCGTCCCTCGTGTGTCCATCGTTGGACGTTTTACTTCTGACACCAGATGTAGTAAGTATATATGGAGGCTTGACGACAGGATCGGAGGCACACTTATTTATTATACCAACACAGTTATTACAGGTCACTTGGCTACAGGGATTTCTCGACAGCTAACCCCTCTAACCTATACCAACTCCTCCACTACGGGACTAGGGGAGGCTATCTGTCCCAGCTTGGTTAAGCTGGGATCCCGGCTCCCTGAGTCACCAGACCAGCTTCGTCTGGGCTCTCGGGGCCACGCCACCGGCTTGCCCTGGTCGGCCCTTAGAAGGACAGCGAGCCAGGGGAGCTCCGGGGCCTATACTAGCAGGTCTTCGTTCTTCTCTGGTTAAAGCTGAGTCCCGACTCCCGAGCCCTTTGGCTCATCACCTTTTATAGGACTTGCCCCCAAGGGGGGGCCCGTGGGGGATGCACATGCGGACGTCGGTGCGAGCGCCACCCTTGTGTACGGCCGTAACCCCGCCCCTTGTGTTTGTTGGCCATCCGTGGCCATGCATAATCACACGACACCATTCGTAGCCATGCGCAATTACACCTCTACACATTTATAGAAAACTACTTTCGCCATGGGCACATGTTTCTTTAATACTTTTTATATGAATATTGTCACATTAATTTTTAAGGACTTTTTCCGATCACTGTGTATGCTCGCATTAGCCGATTGTTAACAAACGTCACCATTGAGGGTTTATTGTAAGAATTAATGAGTAGGATATCTCCAGGAGTACTGTTATGACAATTGCTAGCATAAGTGTTCGCATATTACAGTGTTATGTTTTTATATATTAAAGTTGCTTAACGCAGTTAACACACTAAAACATAATCAGTAAAAGTTAAAGCGAGAATCATTGTATTATAACGATTGGTAATACACCCTGGACAACGAAACATAACGTAATTAGCATAAATTAATAATTTACATAATTCCATACATTTGCATAATTTAGGGAATTTACACATTGTTCGATTTTTATTTAATTCTAATTTTTTTCTTTCTTTTTCAAGACCTAATATATATAACGATGCCCTTTCACAAGTCCTGGTTAATTGTGAATTAATAGTGTGGTATGAATGCACCATGTCCCACAAGGGAGCATTTGAGGCTGTCAACACAACTTTGCAGGACCTTCGGGACAATTCCAGGATTATGGGGGGGGGGAACTGTTTTCATGGCTGGTGACTTCTGACATACCTTACCTGTAGTACTTTGAGAAACCAAAGCTGATGAGTTAAATGCCTGCATCAAGTCATCATTGCATCGATATCCTCGGGCCATTTCCCACCACTCTGAGGGGAAATTGATTTTTGATCGTTGGGGTGGAGTACCTGTCCCAGCGGCTGGTGGCATGGCCTCTGCCAGATAAATCGTCTGCGTCCATCACGGATGCGTTCCTTCATGGGTATGTGCTGGACAAAGGGGCCCTGGAACGTCTCCTTACGGACCAGGGTCGACATTTTTTTCCTAAGTTATTAAAGGAGGTGTGCGATTTTCTGGGCACAAAGAAAATCCGGACTTTGCCCTGCCATCTTGAGACTGATGGGATGGTAGAGTGCCTGCACAGGACTCTTACGTCCATGTTGTGCCAATAAATTAATGAGGCGCAGTCCGATTGGGATTTCCCTGTTCAGGGTGTTCTCGTGGTGTATAGAATGGCCCCTCACGCCTCAACTGGGTTCTCCCCGTTTTTTCTTATGCACGGGAGAGAATGTCACCCGCCCCCCCATGGAAGCCCAGTTGAACATTGAGCCAAGTAAAAAGATGGACGCTGTGCCTGGACTCATGCACCTTAAGCGATTGACGGAAGCGCGGGAGGCATCCAGAGGAAATTCAGCCAAGCGGAAAGCCGCAAATAAAAGCTGGCAGGGCTCAGGGAATCCAGAAACCCATGGAAACCTGGGGAGAAGCCATGATTGCATTGCCCCCAGGTACCTCTGGGCACAATCCCATAAATTGTATAAGCCATGGCGGGGCCCGGTTGAGGTGATTGAGGTCAGGAGGCTGCAGTGCATACGAATCTAGGTTGGTCACAGGCATTGGAACGTGCACCCATTGTGGCTGAAACCTTATTTCCCGTCTTGCCAGGTTGTTTCATCCCCACTACCCGAAGGCCCGGTGTCTGATGTATCCAACGAGCTCGGGTGTACGACCATGGGGGTTGGGCCTCTAGCGGGAATCCGTTCTTTTGCCTACAGGATCCCAGCCCCTGACACCCGCGGAACCACTGACGGCACTGTCCACAAAAGGAATGGGGAGGATGGAACGGCCGCCATCCACTTCTGCTTCTTTTTTCCCTTCATCTTCTTCCCGGGAGGGGCTGCGCCCATTAGGCCATTTACATATCGTCCTGGGGGTCCACAGGAAACCCACGCTTGTCCCGCCTGGGGGCTTGGCGACGAGGACCCATTCGAAAACTGTAAGGTTTATTCCAATGCCATCTGGCGAGTGGCCGCAGGCGCGAGCCGGGCCGTGGCTGTGGGTTGATCTGAGGTCCTTCCTGTGCTCGCAGGCTGCGGCATGCTGATGGTCGTCGGGTATTGTTGTATCCCTGGGGGCCGGGTTTATTGCTGTGCGTTCACGATTGTTATTTGTTCCAGTTATTATTGTCCACTGGTATTTCGATTCGCGGGTGGGATGGAGGTTGTTGTTGTTGTTTGCGTTGTCCCGCTACGCGAGGTATGGAGGTCAGCTGGGACGGCTGATTTTTTCACAGGGGGGGGGGGTTGACGTAGTCACATGTAATGGGTCACTATGGCGCATGGTGCTGGTTGCTGGCAGAGAAGGGGATCTGCAGTTTTAGCAGCCCTGTCTGCTAGCAGGTCATGTGATAAGCCAGAGAGAGGGATGTGGGGCAAATGTGATAGAGGGGGCACGTGCGGTAAAGCCCGGGAACCTTCTAGTAAGTTCTAGAAGGGGGGCGTGGCCAAAGGCAGATCAAGGCCACGCTGAGTGGATATAAGGGGGACCCCGAGCGAAGGTTCTGGGCAGTTGTTTGGAGTGGATCCCGTTGTGCTGCTGGAGTCTTCATCACCGTCTTCACCTCCTCGGCGTTATTAGTCAGGCAGCCTGTTAGCTGTACTGACCATAGTGTAGTTACTCCTTGTACCTGTGAAGGTTGTAATAAATAGCATGCCTCCTACTACTAGTGTATCTGAGTGACTCACTACATTCGTAACCTTATCGTGGTGGTGAGGTTTGTGTGTTCCAATGACCCTCAGAGCTATGTCGCCTGGAGTATTGTACTCCTGGTAGATATGGGGGGAGGTTCCAGACAAATAATGGTCCCAAAAAAAATCCCTTTTGAATGGTTAAAAAATACCAAAATCAGAGAACCTCACCCAGACAAGGTATACCAGGACAATTCCCTGGAGCCAGGCCTGGGGGTGGTGTTCACCGACAAGCGCCTGGTGGCCTGGTGACCCTCACGTAACCCGGTCGAGCCCTGCCCGAAATGGCATTGTGGCGCCGTCCTGTGGGCCCACCATCTGCAGGACGATGGATGAGGGACAGATGCGATGCCAGCATGGCAGGGAGAGGGATGGCCTCAGATGAACTGGACCTTGGCAATGGACACTCGCTATTGGGACGTGGAATGTCACGTCACTGGGGGGGGGGGGCAGGGGGTGGTGGAACTAGCCGGCACTGATGGAGGAGGTGGAAGGGTATTGAATAGATACAGGTCTATCTCCGTTCCCACCTTCATATATTATAATGAGCTTTGGGTAATGACTGAAAGGATGAGATCGCGGTACAAGGGACTGAAATGAGGTGTCTCCACAGGGTTGCTGGGCTCACTCTCCATGATCAGGTGAGGAGCTTGGTAATCCTGGAAAGCCTCAGAGTCAAGCCGCTGCTCCTCCGGATCGAGAGGAGCTAGTTGAGGTGGTTTGGGCACCTGGTAAGGGTGCCCCCTGGTAGACTCCCCCTGGAACTCTCCTGGGAACGTTCCACTGGGCGAAGACCCCGGGGTCGACCCAGGACACGCCGGTAGAACTATGTCAATCGGCTGGCCTGGGAACGCCTGGGAATTCCCCAGGAAGTGCTAGAGTCTGTCACCAGGGAAAGGGATATCGAGATCGTCCTACTCAACATTCTGCCGCCGCGACCCTCACCAGGACAAATGGATTTAGAAACAAGCGAACCAACAAACTCGTGCATGCGACAACGCAAACAGGCTTATAGCAATATCGTTGAAGACATGTCAAAATTAGATGCAATTACATAATTATCTAAACCATTAAAATGTTGTACATCAAAAGAGTCAATCACTAATACATCATGAATTGTGCATATTCAATTGAAAACGTTTAAATACTAATTGGCTCTACGTTGTGTCTGCTTTAGAGGTAGGTGCTTGCCATGAGAGAAAAAGTGTTCCTGCATTCCTTGCATTATCTTGAAGTCGCATCTCTTGTGTTTATTATAGCATTTAACAGCCGGTTTCCTGTAGTATTTTATTATCATCTACACTCTTTTAATTTATTGTTTATAATTGAATACAGTCTTTGCTCCATATCGCGTTATTTTATCTCACCCATTGTAAGTAATTCGAGTTATCCTGCGAAATGCTTTGCAGTCTCATTTAAACTTTTCTTCCACAAACGTTGCATTTGTTTACATTTACATTTAAAGCACCCATTGCCATAATAATTCAATATCCTGCACAGTTATTACACATTGACTCAAGGCTAACAAAATTTACTTGAGTCTATAGAGTTGTCCTCACATAGAGAGTTACAGACTCCAAGCAGGATGGAGGTCACATGGTCACAAAGCCCACGTGTGTTACCTGCACGGCCTTGCGAGTGGCTTTCATCCGTTCTACGGACGCCTCTGCCTTCTTCCTCTTCTTTTCCACTGCTCGCGTCTCCTCTCCAACTCCACTCTGTAAGAGACAGTCACCAGAGGAGACTCCACTCCCTGAGCTGCTCCCTCTCAGCCCCACTCCACACGGAGCCCTCCACAGTGATCGTTCTATAACTGCCCACCAGAAAAGAGTCCAAGGAAGTCAGCTTGAAAAAAAAAAGAGCGTGAAGAGAGAATCATCCCATCTAGATAGATTTTATTTCATGAAATGTTATTGTTGCACTTTTATGGGCTCAGGTCATGGTATTGTTCGCTCATGAGTGGCTCCCAATCAACCTACGCTGGCCTCACCTTCCGTGTCTGATGCTCATCCTCCAGTGTGATGAATTTATGACCCGTGTGGTCACCGGCGATGGTGCAGTCCCTGCACACGAGGCTGAGATCTTGCTTGCAGTAGAACTTGAGCTCTTCTTTGTGCCTCTTGCACTTGCGGACTTCAGGGTTCACATTTGGTGAAACCAGGACGTGGTCATTAAACTTTTTCTTCTCCAGGTGAGGCACAAGATGCTCCCTGCAGAAGGACGTGTCGCACTTGAGGCAGGTCTTCACTGCAGGCGTCTTTCCTTCTGGGCAGTTTTCACAGAAAACAACACCAGCAGCAAAAGAAACAGCAGCCATGGTCTCAGTCACTCGCAGCTGCTCTATGAGATTGGCGATCGTCACATTCCTAGTCAGCTGGGGTCGTCGAGGGAAGGTCTTGCGGCATTGCGGGCAGCAGTACAAGTCTGTCTCCTTCCAGGCGTCCTCCAGGCACTGGAGGCAGAACGAGTGGCCGCAGCTCAGCGTGGAGGGGCAGTCAAACGTGTCCAGGCAGATGGAGCAGCTCAACTCACGGTCCACGTTCTCAGCGGGAGCTGTGCTCGCCATGACCCGAGGATGCTCCCAAAGTAGTTTCTCACTGTGCCTCAGAGAATATATTTCAACAAAAATACTTAACGTTTATAATATCGTGAGATGTTGATTACCATTGACGAGGTGTGTTCTGTTCAGGCGACACTGTGTGCGCAGCTCACACAGCGGAGACGAACAAGGAAATGAACTGACTTTACCTGCAGTTACGTTATAAATATCCCGAGACACGCCCTGGAATGTTCCACAACGCAGGGCTCACCTGTGTAGACGTGGCGTTACAGTCACGCACTGTGTTAGGTTTGTACAACAAAACCCAGCAGTAGCAGCAGCCCGGGACACATCGATAATGGTTTGTCCCACAGGCTGATTGACCGGCTAGGGTCAGGCTGTGTGCATTGCCACAATGGAACCGCACCTTGAACAAACATTCTAATGTAATCGTCTTAAACCTTTGTCAACTAATATTTTAACTACTGGCTTCATGCTTCCTTTGTTCATCTGTCAAATGTTGTTTTTATTCATGAAATTCCTAGGAGACCGTTTTATTCTATGTGGATGGTGGTTGTGTGTATGTATGTTGATCTTCTTTCACAACGTCCATAGCCAAAAGTGCAAATAATTATTAAACTATTATAATAGTTTAATTATAAGTTGATAATGATAAGTAAATGGAGATTTAATAATAATTTAATATTTATTAAATATTTTTGTTACTAATAATTCCATAATAATTATATAATCATTTAGTAGTAATAATGAAATAACAATAATAATTTCATAATAGCATTTAGTAATGATAATTAAATAATAATTTGATGATGCCATATAGTAATAATATGAGTTTTAAAATAATTAAATAATTGTTTTATTCTAACGTCATAATAATAATTTGCATTTATAAAGGGCCCTTAAACAATGCCTCTCAGGGCGCTCTGGGAAAGAAGTGAGAAGGACATTTGAACATCACTAAAGGGAGAAATCCATTTTAAACAAAGACGGCATTAGTGGAGATGTGAAGATGAGCAGTGTCTCGGAAGTCCCGTTGACCTCGAAGGGCAACGAGTTGCAGAGTTTAGGTGCCGTGATTGCCAAGGCACCGTCACCCCCCACGTGTGTAGCCTAGAAACCGTGGGACGGTGAGCAATGCACAAGTTGAGGATCTTGACAAATTTCGATTTAAAGCTTTCGTGACTGCAGGGATCCATCTTCTTGGTTCTTTCGGTAAAGTCACGTAGAAGGGAAGCAATAAAATAATAAAAATAAAACATAATAAAATAAAATAATTCTCACAACGTTTCGGCTACAACGCAAGCAGCCATCCTCAGGTGAAGAATGAGACACTACCAAGCAAGGAGCTTATATATACGCTGCGTTGGAGGTGCAAGAGCGCCTTAACAAAAAGAATGTGCATATGAAGAGGAATTTAGCATATTCATGGGAAATGCGTAGGAGGTGGGTGGGGGGGGTTTCATAGTCATATTATGCCCATGCATTATGCAGGATCAACAGCACCAAGGGGGGGTGCAGTAGCATTAACAAAGGAAAAGAATGTTAATAGTATATAGCTGCAGTTACTAAACAACAACGTAGAAAACTAAAGTATAAACTACATAAAAAACTAAAGTATAAACTGCATAGCACCATCAGTATACTTACTATATTCTACAATAAGCTGAGATACTAACAGCAAGTAATACATTACAATTCTACGTCGTAAAAATTATATAATATGCTTCCATCTAAACTTTATTCTCTTACATCACACGAGCATACACCGTACTATATACTGCCATAGATAAACCCAACATTAAATTGTATACTGTATTGCTATAAACCACCCCTATACCTTATACATTTTAATATAACACTATGTATTATTCTACTCACCCTAATGTGTATCACACTGCTATATGTTTACTATACAATTACGATACTATATATTACTTTGTACATTGTATTAAGCATATAAATGTTATACTATTTGTTATTATACGCTGTACCATTGACCGTCGTATCAATGGGTGAGTCGTGGGGGGGAAACTTGCAGCGGAGCAAAGAATCCATTCCCTGCGGAGAATACAATGCCAGTGAGTGGAACGCGGTCTGAAAGTCACCGTAAACGTGAACACAATCAGTTAAGATCCGAAATGGTTTATTACGTCCTTCCAATGATTGCTAAGCCAGAATCCATCTTCTCGGTTAAAATTGTCTCTGTGTTTTTATATATGGATCGCCTCATGAACGAATCTCTCATGATAGCCAGATGGCTTGCAGAGAACCTCTGTCTTGGAGAAGTCAATGTCATGTGAGCCCACTGAGTTGTAACAGTGATCTGCCACGGCTGAAGTGTTTGTCCTACCGTGTTTCAAGTCCGCTTTATGTTCACGGATGCGGTCCGAGACATGTCGTTTGGTTTCCCCAATGTAACTGCTACCACAGAGGCAACTTCGTTTGTAGATGCCAGGGTACTGTATGTCTGGAACCACATCTTTTACAGACGGTACCAGATCACGGATTTTATGTACTGTGTTGAATCGGACCTGGATCTTGTGTTTAATCAGGATTTTGGAGATCTTTTTTGTGACCCCAGCAATGTAGGGTAAGGTGATGGTCTTGAAAGGCTCCTCAACAGGATCCTTCTTGATGGTTGGAGTGATGGCTTTGCGGATTGTGTAGTCGGAGTAACCATTAGCCTTAAGAGCTTGGCGTACGTGTTTGAGTTCACTGGCAATGTGTTCCTGGTCGGAGATGCATTGGGCTCTATGATATAGAGTCTTGATGAGGGAATTCTTCTGGGATGGATGGTGGTGGGAATCCGGTTTTAAGTAAGCATCCGTATGGGTGGCTTTCCTGTAGACAGAGTGGCTCATTGAACCATCAGGTCTCCTTTTGATTAGGACATCCAAAAAGGGTAGCTTGCCATCTTTTTCGACTTCCATGGTGAATCTGATGGCTGGGTGTATGGAATTGATGTGGTCGAGAAATTGGTCGAGAGTAGGCCTGCCATGTGGCCAGATGACAAAAGTGTCGTCTACGTACCTCTTCCATAAGGTCGGGCGTAGAGTGGCAGTCTGGATGGCGTCAGTCTCAAATTTCTCCATCAAGATGTTGGCTACAACCGGAGATAGGGGGAGCCCATTGGGGTGCCCTCCGTTTGCTTGTAGAAATTTCCATTCCAGGTGAAGTATGTATTGGTTAAGCAGTGTCTCACCAAGGGGGGGTACCCCAGCATTCAATCCTTGATGAACCAAGTCTTCAATGATTGCGATGGTGTCAGGTACAGGAACCTTGGTGAATAAGGAAACCACATCAAAACTGACAAGCAGGTCGTCTGGGGACAGGGCAATCCCCTTGATTGTCGATACCAGGTCAGTAGAGTTTAGTACCGCAGAGGTGGTTTTTCCAGTGAAAGGCCGTAGGATTTCAGACAAAAAACGAGCCAATTTATAGGTGGGGGAGTTGATAGTAGAGACAATGGGACGAAGAGGTGTATCTTCTTTATGTATCTTTGGCAAGCCGTATAATCTTGGTGGCCTGGCTGCAGAAGGTTTCAACGAGAACTGTTTGGTCTGATCAATTAATGCGGTTGAATCAGAAATGATTTTGTTGGTTTTAGTGACGAGGCTGTTGGTGGGGTCTCTTTTTATTTTTGTATAGCTGCCATCGTTGAGTAGTTCTTGAATTTTGTTGTTGTATTCTATTTTGTCCATGATGACAGTGGCATTGCCTTTGTCGGCTGAGAGGATGACAATGTCATCCCTCTTTTTTAATTGAGCTAATTCAAAACGCTCATCTTTGCTGATGTTGCTAGCTGGCATCTTAGCGTTTTTGAGGGTTGCAGAGATTTCAGATCTCGCTACGTCTGCAGCGATGTGACTCAAGCCCTTGAGAGCCACATCTACTCGAGCAATTATATCATTAACTGGTATGTGTCTAGGTGTGACTGCAAAGTTTAGTCCTTTAGCTAAAACGGATTTCAGACCTTCAGAAATAGAACTGTTACTGCGATTAATTACGACTTTGTTAACATCTAGCTTTTCAATGTGTGGGTCCGGTTTCTTGTTTGAGAGGCGGTTGAATTTGGAAATCAAGTTGTCCATACATTTAGTCGACATAGCGGCAGCTGAAGAGGCAGTCATTTTTTCTACATGTTCCCAATCCGATGTGGACATTGTTGCACTCAAAGATAAGTGTGATTTGTAGAGTGTCTTGTCTAACTGATCTAGTTCGGTGCGCGTAAGTCTGATTTTCTCTGAGATAAGAGCTAAGCTAGTTCTAGACAGAATTCGTTTCGCATTAGTTAATGTGTGGGTCCGGTTTCTTGTTTGAGAGGCGGTTGAATTTGGAAATCAAGTTGTCCATACATTTAGTCGACATTGCGGCAGCTGAAGAGGCAGTCATTTTTTCTACATGTTCCCAATCCGATGTGGACATTGTTGCACTCAAAGATAAGTGTGATTTGTAGAGTGTCTTGTCTAACTGATCTAGTTCGGTGCGCGTAAGTCTGATTTTCTCTGAGATAAGAGCTAAGCTAGTTCTAGACAGAATTCGTTTCGCATTAGTTAGACAAGACACTCTACAAATCACACTTATCTTTGAGTGCAACAATGTCCACATCGGATTGGGAACATGTAGAAAAAATGACTGCCTCTTCAGCTGCCGCTATGTCGACTAAATGTAAGGACAACTTGATTTCCAAATTCAACCGCCTCTCAAACAAGAAACCGGACCCACACATTGAAAAGCTAGATGTTAACAAAGTCGTAATTAATCGCAGTAACAGTTCTATTTCTGAAGGTCTGAAATCCGTTTTAGCTAAAGGACTAAACTTTGCAGTCACACCTAGACACATACCAGTTAATGATATAATTGCTCGAGTAGATGTGGCTCTCAAGGGCTTGAGTCACATCGCTGCAGACGTAGCAAGATCTGAAATCTCTGCAACCCTCAAAAACGCTAAGATGCCAGCTAGCAACATCAGCAAAGATGAGCGTTTTGAATTAGCTCAATTAAAAAAGAGGGATGACATTGTCATCCTCTCAGCCGACAAAGGCAATGCCACTGTCATCATGGACAAAATAGAATACAACAACAAAATTCAAGAACTACTCAACGATGGCAGCTATACAAAAATAAAAAGAGACCCCACCAACAGCCTCGTCACTAAAACCAACAAAATCATTTCTGATTCAACCGCATTAATTGATC